AATATGGCTGAAGAACTTCATCGGTGATCTTGGAGTTGTGCCGGCCATAAAGGAGCCCATGGAGATTTTCTGTGATAACGAAGGTGCGGTTGCCTTGACCAAGGAACCGAGGGATCATGGTAGATCTCGACATATCGACAGAAAATATCACTTCATTAGACATCGTGTAGAAGAAGGACAACTCGTAGTGAAGAGGATATCATCAGAAGATAACCCAGCAGATCCGCTTACGAAGGGACTGAGTAGGGTTAAGCACTTACAGCATGCTAGGAGTATTGGGCTGAAGGATGATATTAGCATAGATTAGATAGTATTAGAAACGTATAATAGATAAATGTAATTAACATTGATGATTAAATAAAGAAGTTTTATTTATGAGTAAAGTTACTATCACATGTTAGTTGTTTAACTATTGTTTCACTTTGCATGTTTTGACTTCCAGAATAATTGAGTTTATTAGGAATAATCGAATTATTCAAATGGTCCACAATCGTTCATATGTTGGGAGTAGATATGAATGAAGATTGTCGTGAATTGGTGTGTAGAGTGTCTAAATGGTGTTAGACATAGCAAGAGTTGCTGCAACGTTCATGAGTGCTTACGAACTGGTTTTGAGCATTGGAATAAACCCGCGCTTGCTGGAATCACCTTATGGAATACGATATAAAAGGTGATCGCAAGACGATAATATCATATGGTCTTAAAACCTAGATATATGGTTTATTATTTGTTAATTGATTGTGCATTGATAATGCGAAAACGCATCAGTAACTTGATGTTATAAAACGCATTGTTGTGTATAGTTGGTTAATGAATAAGTAAATGCATATAAGTCGAAGTTTATCTGTAAATTTTATCCTAAGAGGTAGAAGAGATATCTTGGCCACTCGATGATTTGATTTGACTTATGTGCCGGGCCCGGTCAGAACTGAATTGATGTGTTCGATTAAGTTCTATGTCAAATAAATCGAAGATCGAGAAATCTAAATGCTAGACTAACCATTCCATAGGATTGTCAGCATGATATCTAACAGAGGACTGTACGATCCCTTATCTAAAGGACAAGATTGATTAGATCAGAGTTGACAGCGTCTTTGAGAGCTACGATTGCAAACCGTATTGTACTTGTATAGTTACTAGACTTATCCAAGTGGGAGACTGTTGGAATAGTGTCTAAGGCTGTAACTATATTCGGTTGTGCATGGTCCTTTTGGGTTGCCTTCACCATAGCAACTTGAAGGATGATTTGTTAAGAGAGAGTAAATATTATAAGGAATAATATTTAGCTATTTGATTAATATAAGTCATAAATTAATTGGTATTAATTTGGTGACTTAAAGAGATTAATTAAATAAGAGGGTATAACCTGTCAATTGTTTGATAGTTAAGCTTTAGACTGTAAATCCATTAGGGTTGACTTTGGACGGTTTCTAAGAGCTTTAGGATAGCTCAAAATAGTCCATAAGGATATCTATGGAATGGATTTGGATAGCCTTAAGTGAAGATTATCCAATTAGGGTTTAGGGTGAAACCCTTAAGGAGTCTAAAGGTATAAATAGGCCCTTGGGGTGTGGAATTCGTGTACAATCTTTCAGAACCTAAAGCAAGGAACCTCCGGTCGAATTCCATCCCCTCTCCTCTCTCCTAAATCATCTTGCTTGCTATTGGTGTTTGTAAGCCATTAGAGGAGTGACATTTGTGACTCTAGAAGCTCCAAGACAAGAAGATCAACAAGGAACTCAAAGGTATGATTCTAGATCTGTTTTAATGTTGTTGTTTAATCTAATTAGCCATTAGAAGTCTTGGATTCAAAAGCATGTTTATTAGAAAGCCTAGATCCAAGCAATAGGGTTTTGCATGCGCACATAGGAAAGTTCTTATGGCTAAAACCCAACACGAACCACACAACAACTTTTTTATGTTTTAAAATTTAAAACCGCTCCCTTGGTTTTTGTTTCGGTTTCAGTTTTTCGGCTTTGGTTTTTGCGGTTTTTTTTGGTTTCGGTTCAGTTTATACTCACCCTTACAAATATCTATAAGCTTTTAAAACATGCAAATTACATAAAAAGACTTGTCAAAAACACATCATTTAAAAATAGTAACTAAGTTAATTTGCAAAATTATAAGAACAAACTTTTTGTTAAACTCACTTGAAATAAATTTTAGATTTGAAGTTTTTTGTTTTATCTAAAAGCTAGAATCTCCTACTACAAAATGATTTTTCCCGAGCTTTTCCTTAAAAGATAAAAGCAAAAGGCTACAAAAGCTACATGCCCAATACACCATAATAGTGTAAATTCAAAAAAATTATAGAAATTGTCTCTATAGTTTACATGAATATCATAGATGGTTCTTACGAGAAATGTGTTGTATGGATGATCCTTAAGTTTGAAAGAACTTGCATGAATGGTCATTATGCCAAACTTCATTTGATTTTCACTATTAAGCCCACTTAAGTGCCCTCATTTGAGGGCATTTTGGTTATTTGCTTTAGGACATAACTCATTATCAATATTAACCTACAAAAGTTTTCCTTTTTAATTGATTTTTTTTGCTTCTTCACCCTCTTATTTTGAAACCCCAATTCTTCTCCATATGACAAGGATGAAGCTCTGGCGATGCTCACGTGGAAGAAAATCTATAATTACATCCCCATTCCCTTTCCATATATATTTCTCCCTTATCTTTCATTCTATCTAAACCGAGCGTCACCCCTTCTATGGTCGGCATTCCACCAACACTACATCATCGGTGCTCCACAACCACTAAATCAATGGTGCTCCACAACCACTCAAGACATCGTTCTCACCCATCGTCTCCCTCTTTCTCACTCACTCATGAACAACCACACAAAACCCTACCGGGATTCAACACCAGACCTAATACCCTAGATCACAAGCGCAAATCCTCCTTATTATCGTTTCCGACTGTTGGCTAATCCGTACAACAATTCTTTTACATCCAGGGCTCATATCTGTAATCTAGGGTAGGACAAAAACCCTCTTACACTCTATAAACAACATTTCTGGTTATAGAAGTGTAACACCCATAAAATTTATGCCAAAATTTAAACTTTTCAAAACATTTTTAAATCAATAGTTATTACAACTTTGTTTCAGTCTATATCAGAGTTTTTCCCATAAACCATAACAAAAGGTGAGGAGCTGTATGATCACGCATTTTCCTTGCCGCGATCCCCTGATGTACCTGAAACAATAAACTGAAATTGTAAGCCCGAAAGCTTAGTGAGTTCCCCCAAAATATCCATACTCACAACAATACACATAGAATCACAACAACATACTATGGGTCCAGTCAACCATTCGACTGGAATACCCTAGGCCCACAACCAACAGGTTGGAATGCCCACATACTATGAGTCCGATCTTGCTCGGGATGGAATACTCACGACCCACAACCAATAGGTTGGAATGCCCAACTCTATTGGCTTTTGCACAAAGCAGATGAGCCTCAACCGCCAAACAAATATGTGCACATATATACATAACAGATGATCACATAACAGTCTATAGACAACAACTGATCTAATGGATCACACCACATAGCACATAATACCATCCTATCTACCAAGATACCGATCTAACAGATCATAACACATACTACATAATATTATCCTACCCTCTAGGATACCAGTCTAACCGATCATACTAGCATAACATAACCAGATAACAATCCAAAGGGCCGACCTTAGTGCCTTAGACCCTTGAGTATAGCGAGGATAACTCACCTTGCAACTGTCAACTGGAAGTAGAAAGCTCAACTCCTGAATCACCGCCACGAACTCCACCACCTATACCTAAACACGTCATAAGGTTCATAAATTCCCAAATACCCCAGAAGTCAACTGATCAATCCTTGGTCAATGTCAAAGTCAAAGTCAACTGCCCAGGTCAACAGTCCATGTTGACCTAGACTCGTCGAGTGTATCCAGGCACTTGCTGAGTTCCCGGCATAACTCATCCACTCGCCGAGTCACAGAGTGACTCGTCGAGTTCCTAAGGCTCGGGGTCGAAACCCCTTGATCACTCGTCGAGTTTTCCCCCCTACAACTTGACAAGTTCACACGTATCCAACGGTTTGTAAGAACCTTAACCGAATCACCAAGTCACTCTACTGACTTGCAGATTCCACGACAATCTTCATCGGACTCGTCGAGTTCAGTACCATCTTCATATGACTCGCCGAGTTGACTATGCGACTCGCTGATTCCCTTCAATACTTGATCCATACAAATGCTTTTTAAGCCATGCAAAGGTTCCAGACTACAGATCCAACCTTCCAAGGTTTGCTTATCACGTAAAGTTGCAAACTTTATGTGAATGCAAAGCTTTAAGGCCCTTAAAATGACAAAACTAGGCTTGAAGTGAAGTTCAACACTTGAGGGGAAGCTCATACTTGACCAAGCTAATATTTTTATGGATCTAGAGACCAAAGGGAGTCCAGATCTGAAGTTGCATCTTCAGATCTGGCTCAAACATCAAAAGCATTTCCTAAAACCCACGCAAAAGGGATTAAAAGAGAGATGATCCAAAGAAGCAGCTTAATACCTTCCAAAGAGTGATAACTGATGAATCTCTTAGCTCCCTACGAGTTCCTAGCCTTAATTTCCTTGCTTCCCCAAGTGCTCCTTACCAAAATCCCTCTCTTCCAAGCTCTATTACACTAAAGAAACACACACACACACACACACACGATTTAGGGTTTAAGAGTGCCAAGAAGCTGTAAAGGGGAGGATGGTGAAGGCCAAATGATCCATTAAATAGGACACAATAGCCCGAAATTTAGGGTTTCATTTGCCAGCTCCTACTCGCCGAGTTCCTTCTTGGACTCGGCGAGTAGATCAATAAAACACACGAACCAACCCGTAACTACTCGACGAGTAGGGCAGTCAAATTGTCGAGTAGGCCTTGAAATCAATAGAGTTCTTACATAGCCAATACCTTAAAATCGTGGCGTTACAAGAAGTAGATCATAAGCTAATGCAAAAAGAGAGGAGATGCGGTCACCGACAGAGATGCAAGTCTTTCACAGTAGATTTCGTCGAGATTCCAATCGGAAGAGTTAAAGATCCGGCGGAGCAGACTTCATTTCATGGTTACTTCATGGTTGCAAATGTTATTAACTTTGACTATACACACACACACACATATATATATATATATATAAGAGGGTGAGAAGAAAGAGAGTGAGAGAGATAAAGGGTAGGTCCTTGAAAGGTGGTGTCAATGATGATGTCGCTGGTGATGTCGACAATGATGATTGAAAGATGGCGATAAGCAATAGCAAGGATTCAGGTGAGATTCTTGAAAGATTAAAGGGGTTCATGTCTATTAGGGACGGTTCGGATGAAGAAAAAATTTACAGGGATGACCCGAATTAAAAATTAAAAAATAGAGAACAAACGCGTAAATTGTCCTAAAAATCGCAGGCCCCCTAATATCGGAGGCCTCATGCGACCGCACCGTCGGCACACCCTTAGTGTTGCCACTGTATGTATGTATGTATGTATGTATGTGTATATATATATATATATATATATATGTGTGTGTGTGTGTGTGTGTGTGTGCGTGTGTGTGTATGTGTGTGTAAAATAAAACATTTGATATAATTCTTTTTTTTTTTTTGACAAAATTGCAAAAATGATCTTCGTGTTTAGTCGTGAATTGCCACTTTTGTACAATTTTTTTGAACTAGCACCATTATTCCAAAATATAGTTATTATTGCGGTTTTGGTTCAAAACTTTTTGAAAATATTTAAAATGACATACTTTCCCTTTTGATTTTGTTTTTACATTTTTTTATCAGAAAAAATTAAAAGAAAATACCACCCCCACCTCCACCCTCCTTTTCTCTTCATCTCTCTCTCTCTCTCTCTCCCCACAAAACCTATCTCCCCTTTTGATTTTCCAAAAGGGAAATTATCATAAAAGCCTTTAGTTTTCCAAAATATGTCAGTTTTACCCTTGGATGAGTTTCTGGGGTATTAAAGCCGGATACTTTCACTAAATTTATCAAATATCTCATTTAAGAGGTTGGACCCTTGGTAGCCGGTTACCCATGTGCTGATTTGGCACTTAATTGAGGAGTTGGCACTGACTTTATGTCCGTTACGTCCGTTTACCCATCACCTTATCTCAATCTTTTGCACGTAAACGTATACTTTCTTAGAATCCTTCAGAAAATCAACATCATTCATCGCAAAATTAGGGCTTTTTGAAGAAGATTAGGTTATTGGAGAGTCGATTTCGTAGGGTATGTATAATTTCTTTGAAGATCGTGTTATTACAATTCTTTGTTCTTCATAGGTTAAACAATAATGTGTGTTTTTTCAGGTTGTTATGATGGATTGGGATTCAGAAGACGAAGACAACACAGACCCATTTTTTGGTTTACGCGAGCCTTTCTTTGGTCTTAATGAGATAGATTTTGAGCTTCATGACATCTACATGGATTATGAACCAAATGAAGAGTTTGTTACTCCACTAGACAAGTGTAAGGATACAGCTCTTAATGTGTTACTAACTGATGAAAATATTAGAAACTCTAGTTTGACTAATGATGTAAGAGCACAAGTGTATCATGGTGGTGACTTTCAAAGTGATGAAGATGAAGAAGAGCAAGAACAGGTGATAAACAAGTACATAATACATGATCCAAAAACAAGATGGGACAAAATGGAACCAAAACTTGGTGACATTATGAGAATGTTACACAACTAAAGTTTTGTATCCAAATATACACAGTCCACAATGGGTATCAACTCTACGTTGAGAAGTGTGACAGTACAAGAATACTTGTAAGATGTGGGAAAAGAAATGAGGATATTGGTTGCCCTTTCAAACTATATGCCTCATGGATGTTCAATGAAAGATCTAGTCAAATCAAGACTTTAGAAACTACTCATGTTTGTGGTAGGAAGTTCAAACTTGGCTCTATGGTTACTCCTAAATGGATAGGTAGACACTACATAACTGAAATTACAAATAAACCTAAGGTGAAGCTTAAAGAGATGATTACTGACATCAGACAAAGGTTTAGATGTGTTAAATCTGTAACGCCCCGATTCTCAGTTATTTATTAAATAAGATTTATTGGGTTAAGCTCTACTCGACGAGTTGGTCAACCTACTTGTCGAGTAGCAGCTGGATGAGATCACGTATTAAGTGACCTACTCGACGAGTCCATATTGGGACTCAGCGAGTAGGAGCTAGCAGAGGAAACCCTAAATCCCTGGGTTTGCACCCCTATTTAAAGGGACCTCAGCCTCCCTTGGGTCTCTTTACAGATCTAGAGAGTCCTGAGAGTCCTTATAACGTGTGTGAGTGCCTTTGTGTGGTGTTTGAAGCTTAGAAAGAGAATCTTGGAGGAAGAAAGCTAGGAAGTGCAAAGGAATTGAAGCAAGGAAGGCTTGGGAAGCAGGATTTACCTCAACTAGCATCCTTTGGAGGTATTAAAGTTCCATCCTTACTTCCTTTTCTCCTTTTTTGTTGAGTTTCTAGGGCTTTTATGGATTTTCAAGTTGGTATGATGAGCTATGGGCTAGATCTGAGGTTGTAACTTCAGATCTAGACCCTCCTTGGATTCTAGAAGCATAAATTCATAGTTTTGGTTGTGATTAAGGTCCCTATTGAGCATGAAGTTCCATTAAGAACTTAAAATAGGCATTCAGAGCCTTTATAGCCATGCATGCACGTAAAGTTTGCAACTTTACGTGATAAGCATGCCCTAGAAGCTTGGATCTATGAGTTGGAGACGTTGCATGGCTCAAAACAAGTCTGTATGGAAAAAGGACTTAATGGACTGGGCGAGTTGCAAGGCTGATTCAGCGAGTCACATGAAGATGGGCGTGAACTCGACGAGTTGATGAACAACTCGGCGAGTCCGATGAAGATCGTCATAAGAATCGACGAGTTGAAGAACAACTCAGCGAGTCAGATGAGTTTTCTCTTGGACATGTATGAGTGCTTATCCATCGAGTTGCAAGGAGGGAGCTCGACAGGTGGCCTTAAAGTTTGATCGAGAATCAAAGGAACTCGACGAGTCACTCCGATGACTCGGCGAGTAGGAATGTACTTCAGGGAACTTGGTGAGTAGCCAAGGGTACTTGGCAAGTTAAGTTCAACATGGACTGTTGACCTTGACCGAGGACTTTGACTTTGACCAGGGGTTGACTAGTGGGTTATGGAGTACCTTATAAGGTTAAGGACTTATGAGTATGATGTGCTATGATAATAGGTGGTGGAGCTTGTGTCAAGTGATCCGAGAGTTGGAGTTTACCTTTCGTGTCGACATTTGCGAGGTGAGTTATCCTCACTATATCGATAGGGTCTATGGCACCAAGGCCGGCCCTTTAGTTGTTATTGTTATGGTATGCTTGTAATAGCCCGGATTTCCAGGTATCTTTTATTCATATAATTTTTGGTGTTTTGTGAGGGGACTCGGCGAGTTGGAGCTCAAACTCGCCGAGTAAGATCGCGGTTCTGGATGCGGGTTCACGCTTAGACTCGGCGAGTCCAAGGAATGGACTCGGCGAGTCTGCGTTGTTTAATGAAACCCTAATTTTCCGGTCCTAAGCTCTATTTAAAGGACCTTATGGCCCTTCATTGCGGCCACCTTGATCCTTGAGAGCACCAAAGCAGCTAAGGGTTCCTGTGAGTGAGATAAGAGGCCATTGTTCACCAAATTTGTCTGTATTTTCAAGAAAGGAAGGGTGAAAGTCAAGCTAGAAGAGTTGGGAGCTTGGATCTACTTCCATTTCGCCAAGGGAAGCTTCTTGAGGTATCTTTCAGAGCTTATTTCCGTGTTTTTGTTGATATGGTCAAATCTAGGGTTTCTTCTTGCCTTGTTTGCTTTGTAATTGAAGTGTGAGAGGTCCCATGGAGATATGGTACCTAGATCTGGACCTTTGCAGGTCCAGAAAGTCCCAAATGCTATGCTTTATGTCCTTCCTTTTGGGTTGGAGACTAGGGTTGCCATCTTAGAGGTCATTTCTCCAAAAAGAGCCTTGTGGGTGTTGCATGGTAGCCAAGACTGTGACTTTACGTGATGAATTAGCTTAGGAGGGCCAAATCTATGAGTGGATGGAGCGGATCTGACCTCAGAAGCAAGATTGAGTTGATGCATGGCATGGACTCGCCGAGTCTGAAGAACAGACTCGACGAGTAGCATGAAGTTTGTCCTTAACCACTTAGTGAGTGGTCCTACCGAGTTATGGTTGACTCAGTGAGTCACGGAGAGTTAGAGAGGGATTGACAGGTGGACTGAGTCGAGCTGGAACTCACCGAGTTGTCCTTGGGACTCGGCGAGTTGAGTCGCGGTGGCCCCGCGATTCATGACCAGGTGGAACTCGTCGATTCAGGGGAGTACTCGACGTGTCAAAAGAGAATCCTAGAGAGTTGGTGAAAACGCTTAGACTCGCCGAGTCGCTCGAGTGCACTCGCCGAGTCCGGTCAAATTGACCGTTGACCGTTGACCAGAGTTGACCAGTGTTGACTTGATAGGGGTATTCAACCTTAGTGGCAAAAGTATTAATTAGAGATATATGATGTTATAGGAGGATTATAGCTCGGGGGATCGAGCACGAGTGATTTCCAGGATTCACGAGTTATCGAGATATACGAGGTGAGTCTTCTCACTATACTGTACCCGGAAGGGTTTGACTGTGTGACCAGAAGGTCAATTATGATATGAGATATATGCATTATGTGTGATAAGTTAATCGTTACATGTGCCTTGTATGTTATGCTTGATATGGGCCGGAAGGCATTATGTTATGGACCAGAAGGCGAATATGATATGGGCTGGAAGGCGTTGTAATATGGACCATGAGGTTGACGTGGGTAAGACCGGAAGGTTTACCCAGTCGGGACGGAAGTCCCCTGAGACACATGGACCGGAAGGTTAGGGTCTGGAAAGGCGTATGTGCGTAGGTTGTATTTTGGGGAACTCACTAAGCATTTATGTTTACAGTTGTTGTGTTATGTGTTTCAGGTACTAGCGAGGACCGTGTGAAGGCGCCGGCGTGATCGTACACATTATCGGGAAAAACTATTTTATGATCCTTGTGATGTATTCGGTTGTGACAATATTTTTTACGTTGAATTTAAAATATTAATCGATGTTTTGATGTTTGCAAAAATGAAAACTTGGTTTTAAAATTTACGTCGTTACAATGCTACATGTGGTTATGATCTGTTAGATCGGAAATCAGGATAGACAGTATGTTATGCTCTTATGATCTGTAAGGATTGGTATGTTAGTGACCTACTAGGTTGGTACTCTAGTTACAGGAGAATTCTATGATTGATGATCAGTGTGACAGCTATGTTTGATGTTTGTATATATACCTGTATATGATAGTATGCGCACATGGTTATTTTCTTGTGGTTGGGTTGAGGCGGTCCTGCTTTGTGCTGAAGGCTAATATACCCTATGAGCGATCCAGGGAGACTGTAGGCCCACGTGGTGGACCAGTCATGCCGAAGGCTCGGGATAGATTTAGATAGACTGTAGGCCCGGTAGGGCGGTCCAATCAGACCGATGGCCCAGTATGCATGTTGATTGATTGATTATTACTGATATGGTATTATCAGTGTGATATTGGTATTTTGGGGGTAGCTCACTAAGCCCTCGGGCTTATAGTTTTCAGTTTATTGTTTCAGGTACTTCAGGAGATCATGGAAAGGCGAAAGCGTGACCGTACCGCTCCTCATCCTTATGTTAATATTTTTAGGACACTCTGATGGAACATGTTCTGAAAACATTTTGTAAACAATGCTATTTGGTTTTTATTTATGATTGAAAAAGTTTAAATTTGGCGTAAAAATTTATGGATGTTACAGTATCTATATGCCAGTGTCATAGGGCAAAGAAGTGGGAAAAGGAGATAATTGAAGGTAAATTGACTGAACATTATGCTAGGATATGGGATTATGCACAAGAGTTGTTAAGATCCAATCCAAGCTCTACATGTAAGGCGTGTGTAACTGTCAATCCAGATGGGATAAACTATTTTCATAGGTTTTATATTGGTTTCAAAGCTATATGTGAAGGCTGGAAAAGAGGGTGTAGAAGAGTTATTGGTTTGGATGGGTGCTTTCGGAAGGGAGCAGTAAAGGGTGGGTTGTTGACAACCCTAGGTAGAGATGCCAATAATTAGGTCTACCCAATTGCTTGGGCTATTATGGATGTTGAGAATAAGGCTAACTGGACATTGTTCATTGAGCTTCTAAGGGATGATTTAGATATTGATAGTGGAAGAGGTTTGGTAGTGATATCAGATCAACACAAGGTAAAATTTTACATACTTGTCCTCTACTTAATTGCATAATTATCTTATTACATATTTGTCCTCTATTAAACTAATTAAATGATTTTCTTGTAGGGTCTGCTTGAATCTGTGAAAGATATATTGCCTCATGTTGAACACATGAATTATGCTAGGCACATTTATGCCAACTTTAGAAAGACTTGCACGAGTTTAGAATATAAGAAGTTGTTTTAGGCTGCCTCTATGAGTTGCATACAAGGTGACTTCAAGAGGCATATAGAAAGTATCAAGAAATTGAACCCTTCTACATATGAATACTTGATGTCAAAGCAACCAGAAACATGGTGTTGAGCCTATTTTAGATTAGGCTATGCTTGTGAAGCAGTTGATAATGGGATCTCAGAGTGCTTCAACTCAATAATATTGGATGCTATGAAAAAACCTTTGATC